TGGCTCACTATGGCTCCCAAACAGTCAGGGCTTATTTGAAAGGCAAATGAGCCTGTGCCCTGGACAAGTACCTGTCTTACCTGCCACACAACCTGCCACCTCACCTGCCACACAACCTGCCACCTCACCTGCCACACAACCTGCCACCTCACCTGCCACCTCACCTGGCACCAAACACAAAACACAAAACACAATGCACAGAGCAGACTCCAGGCCTCGTTCTTTCTCCCTTACCCCCCTCTGACACTCTCAGGTCACTTTTACACTCCCTCTGACACTCTCAGGTCACTTTTACACTCCCTCTGACACTCTCAGGTCACTTTTACACTCCTCTGACACTCTCAGGTCACTTTTACACTCCTCTGACACTATCAGGTCACTTTTACACTCTCAGGTCACTTTTACACTCCCTCTGACACTCTCAGGTCACTTTTACACTCCTCTGACACTCTCAGGTCACTTTTACACTCCCTCTGACACTCTCAGGTCACTTTTACGTCCCTCTGACACTCTCAGGTCACTTTTAGGCCCCATTTCACACTCTCAGTTAATCTTTTATTCTGTTTTCTTAAATTATTTCATTCTTGATTTATTGAAACGATTTATTATTAATAACACCTCCCCGGTCGGCCAATTTGTGGGGGAAAAGTCCAGTTCTGTTTTTTGGTCCCAGTCCATCCCTGGTCTTGATTTTGATTGTGTTGTGACCTGAATTCTCTTGGTTTTAGTTGTAATCTTGTGGTACCTTCTGCAGAACTTTTCACTAACTGTCGTGTGCTTTGGTTCCAGAGCAGAGCGGCCTGCCCTTCAGCCGACAGGTGAGTACACAGACAGGTGACGGGTGACGGGTGACACCTCAAACAGTTTGGAGCTGTTTGGTTTCTTCTCTCAGGCTGTTTGATGAACTTGCTCTGGTACACGGGGGGCGGGGCCATGGACTGCACACACAGATACAGAACAGTAGATCTCGCTTTGTGTGTGTAGTACTTGTGTGTACTTGTGTGTACAGTAGTTGTGTGTGTAGTACTTGTGTGTACAGTACTTGTGTGTACAGTACTTGTGTGTACTTGTGTGTACAGTAGTTGTGTGTGTAGTACTTGTGTGTACAGTACTTGTGTGTACAGTACTTGTGTGTACTTGTGTGTACAGTAGTTGTGTGTGTAGTACTTGTGTGTACAGTACTTGTGTGTACAGTACTTGTGTGTACTTGTGTGTGTACAGTAGTTGTGTGTGTAGTACTTGTGTGTACAGTACTTGTGTGTACTTGTGTGTACAGTGTGTACTTGTATGTACTTGTGTGTGCAGTAGTAGTGTGTAGTACTTGTGTGTACAGTGTGTACTTGTGTGTGCAGTAGTTGTATGTGTAGTACTTGTGTGTATAGTAGTAGTGTGTGTAGTACTTGTGTGTACTTGTCTGTACTTGTGTGTGCAGTAGTTGTGTGTGTAGTACTTGTGTGTACAGTGTGTACTTGTGTGTACAGTGTGTACTTGTGTGTGCCGTAGTTGTGTGTGTAGTACTTGTGTGTACAGTGTGTACTTGTGTGTACAGTGTGTACTTGTGTGTACTTGTGTGTATAGTAATAGTGTGTGTAGTACTTGTGTGTACTTGTGTGTGCAGTAGTTGTGTGTGTAGTACTTGTGTGTACAGTAGTTGTGTGTGTAGTACTTGTGTGTACTTGTGTGTATAGTAATAGTGTGTGTAGTACTTGTGTGTACTTGTGTGTGCAGTAGTTGTGTGTGTAGTACTTGTGTGTACTTGTGTGTACAGTGTGTACTTGTGTGTACTTGTGTGTATAGTAATAGTGTGTGTAGTACTTGTGTGTACTTGTGTGTGCAGTAGTTGTATGTGTAGTACTTGTGTGTATAGTAGTAGTGTGTGTAGTAATTGTGTGTACTTGTGTGTGCAGTAGTTGTGTGTGTAGTACTTGTGTGTACTTGTGTGTATAGTAGTAGTGTGTGTAGTACTTGTGTGTACTTGTGTGTGCAGTAGTTGTGTGTGTAGTACTTGTGTGTACAGTGTGTACTTGTGTGTACAGTGTGTACTTGTGTGTACTTGTGTGTATAGTAATAGTGTGTGTAGTACTTGTGTGTACTTGTGTGTGCAGTAGTTGTGTGTGTAGTACTTGTGTGTACAGTAGTTGTGTGTGTGTAGTACTTGTGTGTACTTGTGTGTACAGTGTGTACTTGTGTGTACTTGTGTGTATAGTAATAGTGTGTGTAGTACTTGTGTGTACTTGTGTGTGCAGTAGTTGTGTGTGTAGTACTTGTGTGTACTTGTGTGTACAGTGTGTACTTGTGTGTACTTGTGTGTACAGTGTGTACTTGTGTGTACTTGTGTGTATAGTAATAGTGTGTGTAGTACTTGTGTGTACTTGTGTGTACAGTAGTTGTATGTGTAGTACTTGTGTGTATAGTAGTAGTGTGTGTAGTAATTGTGTGTACTTGTGTGTACTTGTGTGTGCAGTAGTTGTGTGTGTAGTACTTGTGTGTACTTGTGTGTACAGTGTGTACTTGTGTGTACAGTGTGTACTTGTGTGTACTTGTGTGTATAGTAGTAGTGTGTGTAGTACTTGTGTGTACTTGTGTGTATAGTAGTAGTGTGTGTAGTGCTTGTGTGTTCTTGTGTGTACAGTGTGTACTTGTGTGTACTTGTGTGTATAGTAGTAGTGTGTGTAGTACTTGTGTGTACTTGTGTGTACTTGTGTGTAGTACTTGTGTGTACTTGTGTGTAGTGTGTGTTAGTGTTACTTGTGTGTAGTAGTGTATGTGTAGTACTTGTGTATAGTAGTAGTGTGTGTAGTAATTGTGTGTACTTGTGTGTGCAGTAGTGTGTGTGTAGTACTTGTGTGTACTTGTGTGTAGTGTGTGTGTGTACAGTGTGTACTTGTGTGTACTTGTGTGTATAGTAGTAGTGTGTGTAGTACTTGTGTGTACTTGTGTGTATAGTAGTAGTGTGTGTAGTGCTTGTGTGTTCTTGTGTGTACAGTGTGTACTTGTGTGTACTTGTGTGTATAGTAGTAGTGTGTGTAGTACTTGTGTGTACTTGTGTGTACTTGTGTGTATAGTAGTAGTGTGTGTAGTACTTGTGTGTACTTGTGTGTATAGTAGTAGTGTGTGTAGTACTTGTGTGTACTTGTGTGTATAGTAGTAGTGTGTGTAGTGCTTGTGTGTACAGTGTGTAGGTCCGTTCTGCTTCATCTGTGTGTTCTTAGTTCTTTGTTCTTAGTTCTTGTTTTTTTTTTTGTGTCAGATAAAAACCGAGGACATCAGTGACTCTCCGCACTGTGAGTCCACACTGAAGACGTGTCCCCTGAGCCACAGCTCCCCGGGGCCCGTCCCAGGGGCCCCTCAGCTCACAGGGGTAAGAACACACACTCCCTACAGCTGCACACACACGGGACTCGAGCGCACTCACACTAAACTAATCTGAATGATCTTCATGTTCTTCAGTTACCACGACGACACAAACACACAGAAACAACACCGACACGAGTGTAAAGATCGACTGAAAACTCAAGAGGAAAACACTGAACAGATTTAAAGAGCAGATTTGTTCAGAGTTCAGTCTGGTTTTTATCTTAAAATAAAACTCAGATTAAAGTCTAACGGAGCCTCAGACAGAGCAGTGCCCTAAGTTTGAATCCATAAAAGCTACTCGGGTTTTATCCAAAGCTCCAAACGCTCTGTTCCACCTTGTGATGTCATCAAGTGGCAACGTGGTCTGACCGTGCTGACTTCCTCTCTGTTCCGTGTGTTCCAGGAGCTGCCGTCTCTGCACACGGTTCAGCAGCTCGTCCTGATGCCTCCCGCTCACCTGGCCCCGCCCACTCACCTGACCACGCCCTCCTCCTTCCTGCTGTCCCAGAGCTCCAGCGCTCACCCAGGTATGAGACACAAACAGTTGTTTTTGAAAATATTGTTTGGATTTTTCTCCAAAAGTGAGTGACAGATGCCCCAAACGTCACACATGGGCACCCCAAACGTCACACATGGGCACCCCAAACGTCACACATGGGCACCCCAAACGTCACACACGGGCACCCCAAACGTCACACACGGGCACCCCAAACGTCACACACGGGCACCCCAAACGTCACATACGGGAACCCCAAACGTCACACACGGGCACCCCAAACGTCACACACGGGCACCCCAAACGTCACACACGGGCACCCCAAACGTCACACATGGGCACCCCAAACATCAGATGCCCTCACACATGTGTCTGTGCTGGTATTTCCTGTGTGGGTTTCATTTCAGATTTCCTGTTTCTCACTTGTTTCTGTTTTTTTTTTGCAGCTCTTCTCCAGCAGAATCTTCTGTCTCTCCCTAGTCCCTCCACCTCCAGCCTGCTGCACCAGTCCGGCCTCAGCTCACAGGTGCCCACCACAACCTCACGACCACCAGAACCTCATGACCACCAGAACCTCACGACCACCAGAACCTCACGACCACCAGAACCTCACGACACCAGAACCTCACGAACCACGACACCACGAACCTCACGATCAACGACCACCACAAGACCTCACGACACCACACAACCTCACGACCCCAGAACCTCACGATCACGACACCAGAACCTCACGACCACCAGAACCTCACGACCACCAGAACCACCAGAACCTCACGACCACTCACGACCACCAAACCTCACGACCACCTCAACCACCTCACGACCACCACAAACCTCACGACCACCACCTCACGATCACCTCACGACACCACAACCACCAGAACCTCATGACCAACCATCATGACCAACACCTCATGACCACCTCACAACCTCATGACCACCTCAAACCTCATGACCACCACAACCTCATGACTTCAACTTCATGACCACCTCAACCTCATGACCACCACAACCTCATGACCACCTCAACGTCATGACCACCACAACCTCATGACTTCAACCTCATGACCACCTCAACCTCATGACCACTACGACCTCATGACCACCACAACCTTATGACCACCTCAACCTCACAACCACCAGAACCTCATGACCACCACAACCTCATGACCACCACAACCTCATGACCACCTCAACCTCATGACCACCTCAACCTCACAACCACCAGAACCTCACGACCACCAGAACCTCACGACCACCAGAACCTCATGACCACCAGAACCTCACGACCACCACAACCTCACGACCACCACAACCTCACGACCACCAGAACCTCACGATCACCAGAACCTCACGACCACCAGAACCTCACGACCACCAGAACCTCACGACCACCACAACCTCACGACCACCACGACCACCACGACCTCACGACCACCACAACCTCACGACCACCAGAACCTCACGACCACCACCTCACGACCACTCACGACCTCACGACCACCTCACACACCAGAACCTCACGACCACCACAACCTCACGACCACCTCAAACTCATGACCACCACAACCTCATGACCACCTCAACGTCATGACCACCACAACCTCATGACCACCACAACCTCATGACCACCTCAACATCATGACCACCTCAACCTCATGACCACCTCAACCTCATGACCACCAGAACCTCACTACCACCAGAACCTCACGACCACCAGAACCCCATGACCACAACTTCATGACCACAACCTCATGACCACCTCAACTTATATTGAACCAGAACTAAACCAGGTCTAAAAGAGGACTATCCTCGGGTAAAACCAGGTCAGAACCAGGGCTAAACCGACAGAGCCTTGCTGGTTTATTTGATGCCCCCTTGTGCTGTGTGCGCCAGTCTATGACCCGCTCCAGTCTGGACGCCCACATGGACATGAGCCACCTGCAGATGCCCAAACACCTGACCCTGGCACCGCCCGACGAGCCCAGCGACCTGGAGGAGCTCGAGCAGTTCGCCAAGGCCTTCAAACAGAGACGCATCAAACTGGGCTTCACTCAGGTCAGTCACATCAGGTCACACTCAGGTCACATCAGGTCACATCAGGTCACACTCACACTCAGGTCACACTCACACTCAGGTCACATCAGGTCACATCAGGTTACATCAGGTTACATCAGGTCATACTCACACTCAGGTCACACTCACACTCAGGTCACACTCAGGTCACATCAGGTTACATCAGGTCACACTCACACTCAGGTCACACTCACACTCAGGTCACACTCAGGTCACACTCACACTCAGGTCACATCAGGTCACACTCACACTCAGGTCACACTCAGGTCACATCAGGTTACATCAGGTCACACTCACACTCAGGTCACACTCAGGTCACACTCACTCAGGTCACATCAGGTCACACTCACACTCAGGTTACACTCAGGTCACATCAGGTCACACTCAGGTCACACTCACACTCAGGTCACACTCAGGTCACACTCAGGTCACATCAGGTTACATCAGGTCACCTAAACAGGCCATGTTTAGGTGATGTTTTTTAACTATGTCCTCAAGTTTCCCCACGTGTCCTCTGTGTGTCCTCAAGTGTCATCTGTGTCCTCCTGTGTTCTTTCTGTGTCCTCACATGTCATCGGTGTGTCCTCTCTGTGTCCTCATATGTCCTCGGTGTGTCCTCATGTGTCCTTTGTGTGTCTTCACATGTCCTCGGTGTGTCCTCTGTGTCCTCGGTGTTTCCTCACGTGTCCTCTGTGTGTCCCCACGTGTCCTTGGTGTGTCCTCATGTGTCCTCGGTGTGTCCTCACCTGTCCTTGGTATATCCTTGGTGTGTCCTCACATGTCCTCGGTGTGTCCTCAGTGTGTCCTCAGTGTGTCCTCGTGTGTCCTCAGTGTGTCCTCGTGTGTCCTCACGTGTCTTCAGTGTGTCCCCACGTGTCCTCGTGTGTCCTCACATGTCCTCGGTGTGTCCTCGTATGTCCTCATGTGTCCTCTGTGTGTCCTCACGTGTCCTCTGTGTGTTCTCATGTATCCTCGGTGTGTCCTCACGTGTCCTCAGTGTGTCCTCGGTGTGTCCTCACGTGGTCTCTGTGTGTTCTCTGTGTGTCCTCAGTGTGTCCTCAGTGTGTCCTCACATGTCCTCACGTGTCCTCTGTCTCCAGGGCGACGTGGGTCTTGCCATGGGGAAGTTGTACGGTAACGACTTCAGTCAGACGACCATCTCTCGTTTTGAGGCCCTCAACCTGAGCTTCAAGAACATGTGCAAACTGAAGCCTCTGCTGGAGAAGTGGCTCAGCGACGCAGGTACCAACACACGGCAAAAACTGCTACTGTGCCCTTGGGCAACACACTTCACCTCATCATTTGTCTCATGTGTGGCCATTTTATCTTATGAGTGAGAGTGTGTGAGAACGTTGTGAGGACAGTGTGAGGACAGTGTGTGAGACCATTGTGAGGACAGTGTGAGGGCAGTGTGAGGACAGTGTGTGAGGACAGTGTGTGAGGACAGCGTGAGAGGACAGTGTGAGGACAGTGTGTGAGGACAGTGTGAGGACAGTGTGTGAGGACAGTGTGTGAGGACAGTGTGAGAGGACACTGTGTGAGGACAGTGTGTGAGGACACTGTGTGAGGACAGTGTGTGAGGACAGTGTGAGAGGACACTGTGAGAGGACACTGTGTGAGGACAGTGTGTGAGGACAGTGTGAGAGGACACTGTGAGAGGACACTGTGTGAGGACAGTGTGTGAAGACAGTGTGAGAGGGCAGAGTGAATACAGGGTGAAGACATTGTGAGGACAGTGTGTGTGGACAGTGTGATTATTCCATTCAGGGTTATTGTCCCATAATGCGTCCGTACACGGTAAAGAGAGCACAGAGGGACAGACGGAGGTCATGTGTCCTGAGGTCAGCTGCTGATTGGCTCTGGTGTTGTCTCCAGAGACGTCCCCCTCGGACCCCCTGAGCAGCCCGTCCCCCCTGCCCCCCCTGATGGAAGGATACGGACGCAAACGCAAGAAACGCACGAGCATCGAGACCAACATCAAACTCACCCTCGAGAAACGCTTCCACGATGTGAGCACCGCCCTCTGTGTCCTCTGTGTGTCCTCTGTGTGTCCTCCCTCTGTGTGTGTCCTCCCTCTGTGTCCTCTCTGTGTGTCCTCCCCTCTGTGTGTGTCCTCCCTCTGTGTGTGTCCTCCCCTCTGTGTCCTCTCTGTGTGTCCTCCCCTCTGTGTCCTCCGTCTGTGTCCTCCCTCTGTGTGTCCTCCCTCTGTGTGTGTCCTCCCCTCTGTGTGTGTCCTCCCTTTGTGTCCTCCCTGTGTGTGTCCTCCCTCTGTGTGTGTCCTCCCTCTGTGTGTGTCCTCCCTCCGTGTCCTCCCTCTGTGTGTCCTCCCTCTGTGTGTGTCCTCCCCTCTGTGTGTGTCCTCCCTTTGTGTCCTCCCTGTGTGTGTCCTCCCCTCTGTGTGTGTCCTCCTCTGTGTGTCCTCCCTCTGTGTGTGTCCTCCCTCCGTGTCCTCCCTCTGTGTGTCCTCCCTCTGTGTGTGTCCTCCCCTCTGTGTGTGTCCTCCCTTTGTGTCCTCCCTGTGTGTGTCCTCCCCTCTGTGTCCTCTCTGTGTGTCCTCCCCTCTGTGTCCTCCGTCTGTGTCCTCCCTCTGTGTGTCCTCTCTGTGTGTCCTCCCCCTCATGTCCCCTCACGTCCCCTCACGTCCCCTCACTTCCCCCGTGTCGTCCTCAGAACCCGAAGCCGAACTCGGAGGAGATCAGTCTGATCTCGGAGCAGTTGTCCATGGAGAAGGAGGTGGTGAGGGTTTGGTTTTGTAACCGGAGACAGAAGGAGAAGAGGATCTACAGCCCTGGACCCGCTGTGCCCGCTGTGCCCGTCAAACACACGTACGGCGCCAGGATGGTGAGCGCCGTTCAGTCCTCACACTTCACCACACTGTCCCCTGAAAGGACCAATATCACACACATAGAAATGTAAATATTTGTATTTATTTATAATTTTCTGAAATGTTCTGTGATATAATTTATTAAAGTATCTCTCTGTCAGGTCAAATAATTCTTTTATTTAAAGAGTCCTGACAGGTGCAGGTGCAGGTGCAGAGGCACTTTAGGTTTAAACACACTGGATTTCAGCTTTGAACCAGCAACCCAAATGTTGGAGTCATGTGAGGCTCATTCTGTGCTCTGATTGGACACTGGTGTTTTACACTGTGTGTTCTGATTGGACGCTGGTGTTTTTAACGGTGTGTTCTGATTGGACGCTGGTGTTTTAAACGGTGTGTTCTGATTGGACGCTGGTGTTTTAAACGGTGTGTTCTGATTGGACGCTGGTGTTTTAAACGGTGTGTTCTGATTGGACGCTGGTGTTTTAAACGGTGTGTTCTGGTGTTTTCAGGCTGGAGCCCCGAGGTCCTACAGCCCCCTGGCCTCGAGCGCAGGTGAGGCTCCTCCCCCAGACGCGGCTCTGACAGTCGTCTGAGCGCCGCTTTAACGTCTTTAACATGCTGTGTGTCATGTGACATGTGTCATGTGCTGTGTCATGTGACATGTGTCATGTGCTGTGTCGTGTCATGTGACATGTGTCATGTGCTGTGTGTCATGTGTCATGTGACATGTGCTGTATGTCATGTGACATGTGTCATGTGACATGTGTCATGTGTCATATGCTGTGTGTCATGTGACATGTAACATGTGCTGTGTGTCATGTGACATGTGTCATGTGACATGTGCTGTGTGACATGTGCTGTGTGTCATGTGTCATGTGACATGTGCTGTGTGTCATGTGTCATGTGACATGTGCTGTGTGTCATGTGTCATGTGCTGTGTGACATGTGCTGTGTGTCATGTGACATGTGCTGTGTGTCATGTAACATGTGTCATGTGCTGTGTGACATGTGTCATGTGACGTGCTGTGTGTCATGTGTCATGTGACATGTGCTGTGTGTCGTGTGACACGTGTCATGTGCTGTGTGACATGTGACATGTGCTGTGTGACATGTGACATGTGCTGTGTGTCATGTGCTGTGTGACATGTGACATGTGTCATGTGCTCTGTAACATGTGACATGTGCTGTGTGTCCAGTCTCTTCCAGTTCATCTCCTCCGAGTCCAGGAGGTGGAGGTTCCCCCAGCAGCTCCCCGTCTGTCCACAGCTCCACCGGGTCAGTGTCCACTGTGTCCACTGTGTCCCTCTGTGTGCCCCTGTGTCCACTGTGTCCCCCTGTGTCCCTCTGTGTCCCCCTGTGTCCCTCTGTGTCCCCCTGTGTCCCCCTGTGTCCCTCTGTGTCCCTCTGTGTCCCCTGTGTCCCCTGTGTCCTCCTGTGTCCCTGTGTCCTGTGTCCTCTGTGTCCTGTGTCCCTCCTGTGTCCCCCTGTGTCCCTGTGTCCCCTGTGTCCCCTGTGTCCCCCTGTGTCCCCTGTGTCCCCCTGTGTCCCCCTGTGTCCTCCTCTGTGTCCCTCTGTGTCCTCCTGTGTCCCTCTGTGTCCCCCTGTGTCCCTCTGTGTCCCCTGTGTCCCTCTGTGTCCCCCTGTGTCCCCCTGTGTCCCTCTGTGTCCTCCTGTGTCCTCCTGTGTCCTGTGTCCTCACAACACACAGAGTCCATTTGAAGTAAATTGTCACAAATATGAATCATAAAAATGTCAGTTTGATAAAAACAGGTTTGAGTTTCACTAAAACATGTTCAGTTCTTACACTGTGGGTACACTGTGGGTACACTGTGGGTACACTGTGGGTACACTGTGGGTACACTGTGGGTACATTGTGGGTACACTGTGGGTACACTGTGGGTACATTGTGGGTACATTGTGGTACACTGTGGGTACACTGTGGGTACATTGTGGGTACATTGTGGGTACACTGTGGGTACACTGTGGGTACATTGTGGGTACATTGTGGGTACACTGTGGGTACATTGTGGGTACTACACACTAAACGTCAGAGGCTTGGTGGACTCAGTGAATATAAACAAAAGAGAATTTCTTCAAATTTCTCACAGAACTTTACTTTGGCAGGTGTAAAAAATTGACACTAGGTACAGATTGATTTTCAAAAATGTTTCAAAAAGTTGGTCAAATGATTCTCCCTCATGTGAAGTGTGTGAAATGTGAAATGTGGGACCAGCCTCTCGAATCTGCAAAACTTATTTACCTACGGGTACGAAGAACAGAACCAAACCTGACTGAACAGAACCAAACTGAACCGGACTGTGTTTTGCTGCAGGTCGTGGTACCGGACGTGGAACGGCGCCTACCACCACTGATGCCCGTCGCACCGCATGGACACGCCCACCCCCTCAACCACCCCCCACCTCGACCCCCGCCCCCTCACCCAGTCCCACTGTAGTGTTTGTTAGTTTTGAGTTTCTCGGTTATATTTTATTTAAAGAGTATTATGTGTTGTGTGTTTTGTGTGTTTGTGGGCGTGTGTGTGCGGGCGTGTGTGTGCGGGCGTGTGTTTGTGGGCGTGTGTGTGCGGGCGTGTGTGTGCGGGAGTCCAAACAAGCCGACGCCCATGTTTCTGTGCACAGTTCAGCAGCTCAGGGTTTGTGTGTCACGGCTCAGTGTTCGTGTGCCGCGGCTCGGGGTTCGTGTGCAGCGGCTCTGGGTTCGTGTGCAGTGGCTCGGGGTTCGTGTGCAGCGGCTCTGGGTTTGTGTGTCGCGGTTCGGGGCCGTCACACACTACAGGAGAATTTGCCTGATTTTTGGCTGTGATTTCACCTTCTTGAGTTCAGGAGGCAGTAAACTCAAAAAACAGTGAAAATAATGACTGGACTTTACTGTTCACGTGTGTAAAGTTTTAAATTTAAACATTATCCACAGAATTTATCCTCTGTAAACAGTGTCAGGGAGGAACAGATTACATGTACCAGAGTTATGTAATCAGAGTACAAATGATGAGTAACTGTATTCAGTTACAGTTACTGTTTCAGTGAGTGGGAACTGGATTACAGTTACTTTGTTGAAATAAATGGATTATATGGCAGGATTTTCCTGTTTCACATATCCCTTTTTTTTTTTTCTTCTTCTTAATTCTGCTCATTGCCAGACACTAAACCAGGACTAAACCAGGTCTAAACCAGGACTAAACCAGGTCTAAACCAGGTCTAAACCAGGTCTAAACCAGGACTAAACCAGGTCTAAATCCTGCTGTGTGGACGTGTTTCTTCGTCTTTTATCAATAATATTTTTAATTTGGTTCAGTAAAGTTTGGACTTTTTATTTTCTTTTATCAGATAAAACTTCTTATGTGAAGATTTCCTCGTCTTTGTTTCTCTACAACAAATCAAGTAATCCAAAGTAATCAGATTACATTACTCACTTTAAGTCATTTAATGGATTCTGTTACAAACTACATTTGGTGTGTGTAATCTGTAATCTGTAATCTGTAGGGGATTACATTTTAAAAGTAAATTTCCCAACTCTGTCTGTAAATAATGAGTCCAGTTCACAAAACGTCTGTGACTCCAGTTTTTTGAGTCGTAGTTTCAAAGTCAAAAGGTGAGTTTGTTTGGTCTTGTGTGTTGTTACGTCCTCACAAAGCACGGATCCACCTGAACCTGAACCTGAACCTGAACCTGAACCTGAACCTGAACCTGAACCTGAAGATTCTCCACACTGACTCCACTTCCCCAGGACTTTATCTCAGATCTTTGACGCTTTAAAAATCCTGGATCTGAAGTTTTTGCTCCACATTTCACAAATAATAATCCCACAGTTTGGACTTGGAGCAAAACTAGAAGATCAGAGTCTGGACTTTGACACACAAGAGTCTCAGAGTCACTGGTTTTACTTTAGATCCTCAGATCCTGCTGCAGTCTGCACACGTCACACATTTAAAGTCTCCTCAGATTCTCCTCGTGTGGTTTGTGTTTTGTGTTTGAAATGTTTCCTGTAGTGTGCGGCGCCTTTAGAAGAGGCCTTGATCCTTTCAGGTTTTTGTTTTGTTGTAATTTTCTGTCATGTTTGGATCTGCTGTGATGTTAAAGATGTTTTATTTCCTGATTAAAAATATTTGTTTGATTTGTGCTCCGTCGTCCTCGAGCAGAAGCTCAGACTGTGTGAATAAATAAACCGAGTGAAGCTGCCGCACTGAAACTGTCTCTGATCTGGACAAAGTTTTAAAATGTGCATCAGGTTCTTCATCTTGTTTTCAGATTTATTCTGCGCTCACTCGTTCTGAGACGTTTCCTTGTCAGTTTGCCCCGGGGCAGCTGTGGCCACAACAGTCGATTATCACCTCCAGGTCCAGAGTGAACGAATAAAGCTGAATAAAACTCTGTAAAGCGTCAAAAGTCTGTGAAAAGTGAAGTGTAGAAATAGAAGATTTATTTATTTAAAATGATCTTCTGCAGCGAAACATCGTTTCAAGACTTTAAACTCATTTTCTGACAGATTTCGATGTTTTTACATTTTGGACGAGTTTTTTTTCAGTGTAACATCGTGTTTCAAACGGGAAGTGAGCATGGACGCTTTTCCGGCTCCATGGACTCTGGCTCCAGTTCAGTTTGTGTGTAACAGTGCGGCTCGTGCGGCTCATGCGTTTGGCTCTTCTCTCCGCTCTACGTGATCCTGTTTTTTTATTTCACTGTTTTGTCTCTAAATCCAGTCCTGAACATTAAGAACCGACCAATCAGGCGCCTCGTTTCCCCGAGACTCCGCCCTCCAGCCTTAACTACAGGTTTGATTGACAGCGTTGCTAAGGGGCGGGGCTTAAGTTCTGCTCTGTTGAAGTTTTGTTGTGTTTTGTAAAATGATCAGAATCAAATCTAAATCTAAACTTCCTGACTCCTTCCTGCTTTTCCACAAACCTTCATCTTCTTCATCGTCGTCGTCGTGGTTTCAGTCCCGGAGTCGTCGATTAAACCGACCGTTTTTAAAGAGGAAACAACAAGACGACGACAGAAGTGACATGTTCCTTTCACAATAAAAATCTGTAAATATAAATGTGACTTTCCCCGAAGAAAAAAAACAAACGTCAAATAAAAAAAGTGACGCAGGACTCTGGACTCTGGACTCTGGACTCTGGACTCAGGACTCTGGACTCTGGACTCTGGACTCTGGACTCTGGACTCAGGACTCTGGACTCTGGACTCTGGACTCTGGACTCTGGACTCTGGACTCAGGACTCTGGACTCTGGACTCTGGACTCTGGACCTGGAGCCTGGACTCAGGACTCAGGACTCAGGACTCTGGACTCTGGACTCTGGACTCTGGACTCTGGACTCTGGACTCTGGACTCTGGACTCTGGACTCTGGACTCTGGACTCTGGACTCTGGACTCAAGATTCTGGACTCTGGACTGGACTCTGGACTCTGGACTCAGGACACTGGACTCTGGTCTCTGGTCTCTGGACTCTGGTCCCTGGACTCTGGACCCTGGACTCTGGACTCTGGACTCTGGACTCTGGACTCTGGACTCTGGACTCTGGACTGGACTCTGGACTGGACTCTGGACGCTGGACTCTGGACTCTGGACTCAGGACACTGGACTCTGGTCTCTGGTCTCTGGACTCTGGTCTCTGGACTCTGGACTCTGGACTCTGGACCCTGGACTCTGGACTCAAGATTCTGGACTCTGGACGCTGGACTCTGGACTCTGGACTCTGGACTCTGGACTCTGGTCTCTGGTCTCTGGACTCTGGTCCCTGGACTCTGGACCCTGGACTCTGGACCCTGGACTCTGGACTCAGCAGGTCCTGGTCTGTCGGTGTTGGGACGTAACGACGAGATTCTAAAATCTCAAACTGGTGATACGATATCGATAATGAACAGGCTCGATACTCGATACCACGATGATAAATATGTGTGACCAGGACTAAACCAGGACTAAACCAGAACTAAACCAGGTCTAAACCAGAACTAAACCAGGACTAAACCAGGACTAAACCAGAACTAAACCAGGACTAAACCAGAACTAAACCAGGACTAAACCAGGACTAAACCAGGACTAAACCAGGACTAAACCAGAACTAAACCAGGACTAAACCAGACTAAACCAGGACTAAACCAGACTAAACCAGGACTAAACCAGGTAAACCAGGTAAACCAGGACTAAACCAGAACTAAACCAGGAAACTAAACCAGAAACTAAACCAGGACTAAACCAGGACTAAACCAGAACTAAACCAGGACTAAACCAGAACTAAACCAGAACTAAACCAGGACTAAACCAGGACTAAACCAGGACTAAACCAGGTCTAAACCAGGACTAAACCAGAACTAAACCAGGACTAAACCAGAACTAAACCAGGACTAAACCAGAACTAAACCAGAACTAAACCAGGACTAAACCAGAAAACCAGGACTAAACCAGGACTAAAACCAGACTAAACCAGAAAACTAAACCAGGACTAAACCAGAACTAAACCAGGACTAAACCAGGACTAAACCAGAACTAAACCAGGACTAAACCAGGTCTAAACCAGGACTAAACCAGGTCTAAACCAGGACTAAACCAGAACTAAACCAGGTCTAAACCAGGACTAAACCAGGACTAAACCAGAACTAAACCAGGACTAAACCAGAACTAAACCAGGTCTAAACCAGGACTGAAACCAGGTCTAAAAAACCAGAACTAAACCAGGACTAAACCAGGTCTAAACCAGGACTAAACCAGGTCTAAACCAGGTCTAAACCAGGACTAAACCAGGTCTAGGTTTAATCTGATGACAGTAATAGAAAAGTGAAGCAGAAATTGTTTTTTGTTTTGTTTGTGAAAAACCATAAAACAAAAAAATCCACAACAACAGAAAGTCGAAAGATCTCACAAAGTTACACACTTTGACTTTTTTATTCTTTGACTCTTTGACTGTTTTATTTAAACCAAACGTCCAAACCCGAGAGAAAAGTCGACATGAACAACACCAACACAAATCTGAACATTTACACACGTTTTTAGAAAATGATTCAGTTTCTGTTTCACACATTTTAGATCCTCGTGCGACAGATTTAAATTTCCTCAAACCTGAATCAAACTCACGTCCAGACTCGAGTCTCACAGTCGACGTCTACGATTAAAAAAGTGTTTTTGCTGCATTTTTAACCAACAAAAGATAAAAAATTAAGATCAAAATGTTTCAAAGTAAAACAGATTCATGTTCAGACACAGAATGTTTGTGAAAGTTTGTGAAAGTTTTTACACTTTGGACCTGAGGTGTTTCTTGTTGTTTTTTTGTGAAATGTATGAAAGAAAAATCTGCTGTACGACATAAAAACTAGAAAAACTAAAATCAGTGGAAAAACCCAAAGCTCCGCCCAAAACAAAACAAGATTCAAACGTCCGACTCTTTTTTTAATTTAATCTTTTCCTGTAGATTTATGTTACGAGTCTTGTGTCTTGTACGACTTTAAACCTACAAAAATGACGGTAAAAACATTGGATTATTTCATAAAAAAAATAATAATAAAAATTTTGGTCAAGGCACAAACAGGTCAGAGGTCAGAGGTCATCAGAAAAAAGGTTGAATTAAAACACTGATACAAATATTTAAATGATTTGTGTCAAAATGAGTGAAAAAATCCTGAGTGTTTGTGGCGACGTCTCCATGACGACGAGTCAGAGCTCAGTGAATCTGCACCAGAAAAACACAAACAACAGATCAGTAATATTCACTTTTGTCTCATTAATATTCACTTTTTCACTTTTATCTGGTGAATTTTCCCAAACACAGAGTTTGATCTCAGTCGTTTTCATCCACAAATGTAAATTTAATATTTGTCACTAGTGTGTTTTTTTTTTTTTTTTTTTATAAATACATGGGGATTTGTAAATTTATCTGTTTTCATTAAAAAAAACAACAAAAAAACATTTGTAAAAGTGAAGATTGTGTTTGTAAACTGTGATTTGTCGGTTTGTGTTTCATGAGACGAGTGTAACATTAATTGAATTGGCTGTGATTTTTTATTGATTCTTAATTCTGACGAGTTCTTCTGAAATGTTTCCAGCAGCAACTTGTGTCATAAAATCCAAACAGAATTTTCACTTTTACAAAGTTCAGTTTAAAAAAAGAAAAAGAAAAAAAGAAAAACTAAAAAAAAATAAAAATAAATAAATTTACAAATCCACATCAATTTGTAAAAACAAAACAAAACACAAGTGACAAATATTAAATTTACATTTGTGAATCAAAACAACGACTGAGATTAAACTAAACTCAAACTGTGTTTGAGAAAATTCACCAAACAAAAGTAAAAAAACTATGAGGGTCTGGACACAAACACACACACACACACATACACACACACACACACATACACACACACACACACACACACACACACACACACACACACACACACACACACACACACACACACATACACACACACACACACACACACACACACACACACACACACACACACACATACACACACACACACACACACACACACACACACACACACACACACACACACACACACACATACACACACACACACACACACACACACACACACACACATACACACACACACACACACACACACACACACACACACATACACACACACACACACACACACACACACACACACACACACACACACACACACACACACACACACATACACACACACACACACACACACACACACACACACACACACACACACACACACACACACACACACATACACACACACATACACACACACACACACACACACACACTACACACACACACACACACACACACACACACATACACACACACACACACACACACACATACACACACACACACACACACACACACACACACACACACACACACACACACACACACACACACACACACACATACACACACACACACACACACACACATACACACACACACACATACACACACACACACACACACACACACACACACACACACACACACACACACACACACACACACACACACACACACACATACACACACACACACACACACACACACACATACACACACATACACACACACATAGGGTAAAGGGGGCGTGGTCAGTCTAGGTAAAGGGGGCGTGGTCAGTCTGGGTAAAGGGGGCGTGTCTTACCCACGGCGCCGCCCACAGCAGCTGAGAAGTTCTTTGTAAACGAGACGAGACAAAAGCTGCAAAAACACGAAGAAAACATCAGACTGTTGTTGTGTTGTTGTGCGTCTGTTGTGTTGTTGTGCATCTGTTGTGTTGTTGTGTGTCTGTTGTGTGTTGTTGTGTGTGTTGTGCGTCTGTTGTGCGTCTGTGTTGTCGTGTTGTTGTGCGTCTGTTGTGCATCTGTTGTGTGTTGTTGTGTGTGTTGTTGTGTGTCTGTTGTGTTGTTGTGTGTCTGTTGTGTTGTTGTGCATCTGTTGTGTTGTTGTGCGTCTGTTGTGTGTTGTTGTGTGTTGTTGTGCGTCTGTTGTGTTGTTGTGCGTCTGTTGTGTTGTTGTGCATCTGTTGTGTTGTTGTGTGTGTTGTGCGTCTGTTGTGTGTTGTTGTGTGTCTGTTGTGTGTTGTTGTGTGTCTGTTGTGTTGTGTTGTTGTGCGTCTTGTGCGTCTGTTGTGTTGTTGTGCGTCTGTTGTGTTGTTGTGTGTGTTGTGCGTCTGTTGTGTGTTGTTGTGTGTGTTGTGCGTCTGTTGTGTTGTTGTGTAGTTGTGCGTCTGTTGTGTAGTTGTGTTGTTGTGTAGTTGTGCGTCTGTTGTGTTGTTGTGCGTCTGTTGTGTAGTTGTGTTGTGTTGTTGTGCGTCTGTTGTGTGGTGTTGTTATGTAGTTGTGCGTCTGTTGTGTTGTTGTGTAGTTGTGCGTCTGTTGTGTAGTTGTGTTGTGTTGTTGTGTTGTGCGTCTATTGTGTAGTTGTGTTGTTGTGTAGTTGTGCGTCTGTTGTGTTTTTGTGTTGTTGTGTAGTTGTGCGTCTGTTGTGTTGTTGTGCTGTTGTGTAGTTGTGCGTCTGTTGTGTTGTGTAGTTGTGTTGTGTTGTTGTGTAGTTGTGCGTCTGTTGTGTTGTGTAGTTGTGTTGTGTTGTTGTGTAGTTGTGCGTCTGTTGTGTAGTTGTGTTGTTGTGTAGTTGTGCATCTGTTGTGTTGTGTAGTTGTGTTGTTGTGTAGTTGTGCGTCTGTCGTGTTGTGTAGTTGTGCGTCTGTTGTGTGGTGTTGTTGTGTTGTTGTGTGTCTGTTGTGTTGTTGTGTAGTTGTGCGTCTGTGGTGTTGTTGTGTAGTTGTGCGTCTGTTGTGTGGTGTTGTTGTGTAGTTGTGCGTCTGTGGTGTTGTTGTGTAGTTGTGCGTCTGTTGTTGTGTAGTTGTGTTGTTGTGTAGTTGTGTCTGTTGTGTTGTGTTGTTGTGTAGTTGTGCGTCTGTTGTGTTGTGTAGTTGTGTTGTTGTGTAGTTGTGCGTCTGTCGTGTTGTGTTGTTGTGTAGTTGTGCGTCTGTTGTGTTGTTGTGTAGTTGTGTTGTTGTGTAGTTGTGCGTCTGTTGTGTTGTGTAGTTGTGTAGTTGTGCGTCTGTTGTGTTGTGTTGTTGTGCGTCTGTTGTGTGGTGTTGTTGTGTAGTTGTGCGTCTGTTGTGTTGTGTAGTTGTGTTGTGTTGTTGTGTAGTTGTGCGTCTGTTGTGTAGTTGTGTTGTTGTGTAGTTGTGCGTCTGTTGTGTTGTGTAGTTGTGTTGTTGTGTAGTTGTGTTGTGTAGTTGTGCGTCTGTCGTGTTGTGTAGTTGTGCGTCTGTTGTGTTGTGTAGTTGTGCGTCTGTCGTGTTGTGTAGTTGTGTTGTGTTGTTGTGTAGTTGTGTGTCTGTTGTTTGTGTTGTTGTGTAGTTGTGCGTCTGTGGTGTTGTTGTGTAGTTGTGTAGTTGTGCGTCTGTTGTGTTGTGTAGTTGTGTTGTTGTTGTTGTGTAGTTGTGCGTCTGTGGTGTTGTTGTGTAGTTGTGTAGTTGTGCGTCTGTTGTGTTGTGTAGTTGTGTTGTGTGTTGTTGTGTAGTTGTGTTGTGTTGTTGTGTAGTTGTGCGTCTGTGGTGTTGTTGTGTGTTGTGTAGTTGTGCGTCTGTCGTGTTGTGTAGTTGTGTTGTGTTGTTGTGTAGTTGTGTCTGTTGTGTTGTGTAGTTGTGCGTCTGTTGTGTTGTGTAGTGTGTGCGTCTGTTGTGTTGTGTAGTTGTGTTGTGTAGTTGTGCGTCTGTCGTGTTGTGTAGTTGTGTTGTGTAGTTGTGTAGTTGTGTTGTGTAGTTGTGTGTGTTGTGTAGTTGTGTTGTGTAGTTGTGTAGTTGTGCGTCTGTGGTGTTGTGTAGTTGTGTTGTGTAGTTGTGTTGTGTAGTTGTGTTGTGTAGTTGTGTGTGTTAGTTGTGCGTCTGTGGTGTTGTGTGTTGTGTAGTTGTGTTGTGTAGTTGTGTAGTTGTGTTGTGTAGTTGTGTAGTTGTGTAGTTGTGTTGTGTGTTGTTGTGTAGTTGTGTAGTTGTGTTTGTGGTGTAGTTGTGTAGTTGTGTTGTGTTGTTGTACCAGACACGCGAGGACGTCTGCACAGATCAACATGTAGAAAACGTTGTTCCAGCCGCTCGGAGAAATGACTCCAGCCAACAGAGGCCCCAGGGCCGCACCTGCACACAACACACAACCACACTGACAGGTGCGCACCTGCACACAACACACAACCACACTGACAGGTGCACACCTGCACACAACACACCAGCACACTGACAGGTGCACACCTGCACACAACACACCAGCACACTGACAGGTGCACACCTGCACACAACACACCAGCACACTGACAGGTGCACACCTGCACACAACACACCAGCACACTGACAGGTGCACACCTGCACACAACACACCAGCACACTGACAGGTGCACACCTGCACACAACACACCAGCACACTGACAGGTGCACACCTGCACACAACACACCACACTGACAGGTGCACACCTGCACACAACACACCAGCACACTGACAGGTGCACACCTGCACACAACACACAACCACACTGACAGGTGCACACCTGCACACAACACACCAGCACACTGACAGGTGCACACCTGCACACAACACACCAGCACAATGACAGGTGCACACCTGCACACACACTGACAGGTGCACACCTGCACACAACACACCAGCACACTGACAGGTGCACACCTGCACACAACACACCAGCACACTGACAGGTGCACACCTGCACACAACACACCAGCACACTGACAGGTGCACACCTGCACACAACACACCAGCCACACTGACAGGTGCACACCTGCACACAACACACCAGCACACTGACAGGTGCACACCTGCACACAACACACCAGCACACTGACAGGTGCACACCTGCACACAACCACACTGACAGGTGCACACCTGCACACAACACACCAGCACACTGACAGGTGCACACCTGCACACAACACACAACCACACTGACAGGTGCACACCTGCACACAACACACCAGCACACTGACAGGTGCACACCTGCACACAACACACCAGCACACTGACAGGTGCACACCTGCACACAACACACCAGCACACTGACAGGTGCGCACCTGCACACAACACACCATGACAGGTGCACACAACACACCAGCACACTGACAGGTGCACACCTGCACACAACACACCAGCACACTGACAGGGCCGCACCTGCACACAACACACAACCACACTGACAGGTGCGCACCTGCACACAACACACCACCACAATGACAGGTGCACACAACACACCAGCACACTGACAGGTGCGCACCTGCACACAACACACCAGCACACTGACAGGTGCACACCTGCACACAACACACCACCACACTGACAGGTGCGCACCTGCACACAACACACAACCACACTGACAGGTGCACACCTGCACACAACACACCAGCACACTGACAGGTGCGCACCTGCACACAACACACCAGCACACTGACAGTGACAGGAGCAGACAGTGACAGGAGCAGACAGTGACAGGAGCAGGCAGTGACAGGTGCACGTACCCACAGAACCGGTCCCGTCGATTATGGCTGTGACTGTGGACAGGGCCCTGGAGTTTCCCCTCAGACTCTCATGAGTCCCCTGAAAACAACAACACTTCACTCTACAGACAGGGACAGACAGGGGCAGGCAGGGGCAGGTAGGGGCAGGTAGGGACAGGCAGGGGCAGACAGGGGCAGACAGGGACAGGTAGGGGCAGGCAGGGGCAGACAGGGGCAGGCAGGGGAAGGCAGGGACAGGCAGGGACAGAGGCAGGAGCAGGGACAGGTGCAGGTCTAGGCAGGTGCAGTTGTAGGTGTAGACAGGTGTAGGCAGGTGTAGGTGTAGACAGGTGTAAGTGTAGACAGGTGTAAGTGTAGACAGGTGTAGGCAGGTGCAGTCAGGTGCAGTCAGGTACCAGGTCTGCAGACACAGCGGTGGTGATGAGGGCGTAGGGGCCGTTCACCAGGGCCCCACAAAGCAACAACAAACCTGAAAACAGAAGAAGTCAGAACACACGTGTGTGTGTGTGTGTGTGTGTGTATGTGTGTGTGTGTACATGTTGTGTGTGTGTGTGAGTCTCACCCACAGATGTGCCTAGGCTCGTCTGACCCACACTGTTGTAGACGAACAGCTGCAACACAAACACAGATTTAAGTTTGAGTTTTTTTGGACACTACACACGTGTGTGTGAGTAAATGCAGATGTATCTTATGATCTGTTTAATGCCACACTGCGGGACATGTGTGTACTCACCATGGGCGCCGCAGTGACCAACATGACCCAGCAGGTGGCGGCTCGAGCCCCGGTGTAGTCTGACACCAGACCTGCCAGGATGCCCCCTGCACACAACCACACGTCACACTACAGCACACACGTTTAAACACACAGCGGAGCACTTCCTGCATCAACACACGATGACATCACAGAGTGTTTTCAGTTTGAGAGAAGAGCTTGTGTGTGTGCAGAGTTTATGTATTAAACGTGTGAATGTAACAAACAGAACTCCAGGTCTGTGTGACAGGGACCACATCAGAGCAGAGGATTATGGGACATTTAAAGTGATGGTGACTTGTTGGGACACTCATTTCACAAATTAAGTCCTGATTTGTGTAAAACACTCACACATGTGTGGGTCCATACACATGTGTAGGTCCATACACACATGTGGGTCCATACACACGTGTGGGGGATAGGGTTAGGAGGGCAGAGTGGGAGGAGCCTCGTACTTTCTCTGTGTGAAGAGTCGACTGGTTTATTATCAAATAAAAAACTCGGCTCTGATTTTCACTTTTTTTCGTCTTAATCGTATCAAAATCAATTCGATATCGTGACCCGAGTATTAAGTCTTGGAAAAACCGAATCGTTGCGTCCCCGGTGGACACTGAGGACAGTCCTGGACATACCTACGATCCCGCCCACGTCAAACAGAGTGGACATGTCCCCGGCTTCTTTGGCATCGAAGTGTGCTGCAAAAACAAAACACAGTGAGACACACTGAGGGACACTGATAGGGACACTGAGAGGGACACTGAGGGGGACACTGTGGGGACACTGTGGGGACACTGACCCACGTTGGAGATGTAGAGCGGGAGCCAGAACAGAAACGTGTAGCTGACGAGTTTGGCAAAGAGCAAACAGAAGGAGAACTCCAACACACCCTGAAACACACAACAAACACACAATAAACACACAACAAACACACAATAAACACACAATAAATATATGTTGTATAATTGTTGTATAATTGAAGTGTAGAGTTTGTGGGTCACATGACTCACCGGGATCCTCAGAGCTCCACAGAAGCTGATGGCCTCACTCTCGTCCGACACGCCCTCCTCCACCACCTCCACCTCTCCATCCACCTGCCACAGGGACACACAGGTGAGACAGGGACAGACAGGTGAGACAGGGACAGACAGGTGTGACAGGGACAGACAGGTGTGACAGGGACACACAGGTGAGACAGGGACACACAGGTGTGACAGGGACACACAGGTGTGACAGGGACACACAGGTGTGACAGGGACAGACAGGTGTGACAGGGACAGACAGGTGTGACAGGGACACAGGTGTGACAGGTGTGACAGGGACACACAGGTAAGACAAGTGAGACAGGGACTCACCTGTTGGTTTGGGGCGGAGCAGCCCACATCCTCAGGTTCTAAAGGAAACACACAGAACATGAGCCGAGAGAGTCCGGGTTTAGTCCTGGTTTAAACCTGGACTGAACCTGGACTGAACCTGGACTGAACCTGGACTGAACCTGGACTGAACCTGGACTACACAGGTCTGGGGGCACCGTGGGGCCCTGGTCCTGGTCTGGTCTGAAGACTTACTGTCCACCAGGAAGAAGAAGCAGAGGAGTCCCATCCCGGCGATGATGACCCCGGGGACGATGAAGGACAAACCCCAGGACGAGGACACGAAGGCCCCGGCGATCAGAGACCCCAGAATGTTCCCCACAGACGTGTGAGAGTTCCACACGCCCATGATGAGCCCACGCCTGCACACAAACGCACAAACACACACATAAATACACACAAACACACACGAACACACAAACACACACACAAACGCACAAACACACACATAAATACACACAAACACACACATGAACACACAAACACACACACAAACGCACAAACACACACATAAATACACACAAACACACACATGAACCCACAAACACACACACAAACACACACATGAACACACAAACACACACATAAATACACACAAACACACACAAACACACACATAAATACACACAAACACACACATGAACCCACAAACACACACACAAACGCACAAACACACACACAAATACACACATAAATACACACAAACACACACATGAACACACAAACACACACACAAACGCACAAACACACACATAAATACACACAAACACACACATGAACACACAAACACACACACAAACACACACATAAATACACACAAACACACACGAACACACAAATACACACATGAACACACAAACACACACATAAATACACACAAACACACACATGAACACACAAACACACACAAACGCACAAAGATGCGACTCATACACCCATAACTCACAGACACATGATGCAGCTGTGACATGTGTTGAGTCAGTGTGAGTCGATGTGAGTCAGTGTTGAGTCGATGTGAGTCGGTGTTGAGTCGATGTTGAGTCTGTGTTGAGTCGATGTGAGTCAGTGTTGAGTCAGTGTGA